TTCTTTCAGCTTGAGAAATGCTGAGCATGTTCTTCCCTTTTGTTTTTCTAACTCCAGGTCTTTGCACATTTCATTATAGTAATTGGTTTTGTCTGCTTGAGCTGCTCTTTGAAATCTTCTGTTCAGCTCTTTCATCTTGTCATTTCTTCCATTTGCTTCTGACTCATAGAAACCCCCATTTTGGGTTTCTGAGGCTATAAATCTTTATGGAAGTAAATCGCCCTCTCTCTTCCTTCTGCAGAGCAGCTGGTGGGTTTGAACTGCTGACCTTCCGATTAGCAGTCAAATGCCTTATCACTACGCCACTAGAGCTCCTTCCTTTCTTTTGTGGTGTTGCTTGGGTGGGTTTGAACCACTGACCTTTAGGTGAGTAGAGGAATGCGACTATTAGCACCACCCAGGTACTTGTCAGAATCCCACTTCCTGTCACATGTACCTCCTCAATGAAGCCTTTCTGCCTCAGAACTCACAACAATTCACACCATTCTTTGGACATTTGTGACACACTTAGGTGTATTGTAATTATTTGTGGACATATCTTACACCTTTAAATTTCTTTCCATCAGTATCATTCTGTGATTCTACCGACTCGATGGCAAATAACAACAACAACAACAACAAGTGTGAAAATAAGTTGAGGCATGGTAGGAAAGATACTTCACTTTTATATTCATTCTCTTGTGAGCCTTTCATATCAGAAAACCCAAAAGAAAAAAGTATAATTGACTTCTAGGCAAGACTACGGTAATATTTACACGCTGCTCTTAAGATTTCAAAGGATTCTCACATTTATTCTCATTTGATTCTCATAACAAGCCTCTGAGAGACACAAGCTGATGTGATTATCTAAAATAAATAAATAAATAAATAATAAAAACCAATTCCAATTAACAATGTAATCAAGAAATAAGATGATTTGTAGAAGTGGAAGAAAAAAAATTACTCAGAGACCCATGAGGTTCTAATTTGAATCTGCAACACAATGATCATGAGCTTCAGTTTTCTTGGCCATAAAATGACTAAATAAACTAGGTGACTACTAGGTCCCTTTCAAGCTAAAATATTCTTTGATCTTATGGTGTATTTAATTTATAGTTGAAAATGTCATGACATATTCTTTGATTTTTCTCCAAAGGATATTTGCATATCTGCCATTAAAGAGAAGGATATTGAAGCCAAACTGACTCAGGTGGTTGAAAACTGGACCAACCAGAACCTGAGTTTTGCAGCATTTAAAGGAAAGGGAGAGCTTCTGCTCAAAGGCACTGAGTCTGGAGAAATTATCACCTTGATGGAAGATAGTTTAATGGTCTTAGGTTCCTTATTAAGTAACAGGTAATTTTATAATTTTGGTTTGTTTTGAATTATATTTATGTTTTTTATTTATGGTTGGTTGTGAATCGAATTGTCTTCCCCCCAAATATGTGTTGGAATTCCAACCCCTATACCTGTGGCTGTAATCCTCTTTGAGAATAGGGTCTTCTTTGCTATGTGAATGAGGCCACATACCCTACGTGTAGGGTATGTCCTAAACCTAATCATTTCTGTGTTATAAAAGAAGCAGCATAGAAATCGATAGATATAAGACCACAAATGGGGAATGATAGATACCATGCCACATGAGGATCCCCAAGGAACAGGGAAATGCTGTCAAAGATAAGGATCTCCCATTGGAACCAACAGAGAGAGAGAGAGGCTTCCCCTAGACACAGTACCCTAATTCAGACTTCTTGCCTCCTGACTGTGAGAAAATAAATTTCTCTTTTGTTAAAAATAATATTTTATTGTGTTTTCAGTGAAAGTTTATATAGCCAATTAGGTTCTATACAAATTGTTCAGTGACATTAGTTACCTTTTTCACAATGAGTCAATAAATTTATCTTTCTTAAAGCCTCCCATTTGTGGCATTTCTGTTACAGCAGGACTAGGAACCTAGGACATGGTATAGAGTTCTAGGTAAAAGTCCAGTTCTGCAACTGCAGCATGACATAAAATTCTGCTAACTCTTGCCTGTCCCTATATGAACCTCCAATTTTCACCAGTAATCATAGCCTCCATTTCTTTTTAAATGGGATTCATCTCTTTCCTCCCAGCTTTTTTGCCAATGAGCCCCATCACAGTTATTTCCCACAAAATTGGCAGTTTATCCCATAACATCTTGGCTCCTCACAGAAAAGACCTTTTCACTTCTCTCTTTTGTTCCTCTGATTTGTCATCTTTGCCCTCCTTGGCTAAATCCATTCAAGTTCAATGGCCCAGCAAATACATGCTGGCCACACATGAAAGGCATATACTGCTAAAGGCTTGGCACTTAGAGACTTGAGTTTTTCTTTCTTTCTTTTTTTTTAAATGATGAAAAGCGGCTGTGTCTGTGCTAGATCCATTGTGCTTTGAATGAGGCAACCTCTTTATCATCTGACCACTGGACCATGTGGTCTTAAGTGCAGCTTTAGGAAATTCAACTGGTACTCAATCAGACTTAATATTCTCTCAGAGCTTTGAACTGGGCAGTAGCAACCTGTCTTCCTATAATTAACAATGCAGAAGTTCTTGACTATTCTTTATCCCAGCACACCTAAGGAATATGTCACACCTTCATCATGAACAGAGCTTAGTGTCCAGGGAGTGTGGAGATTCTAATATCCTTGCTCCAGGTTGGGATTACTTGTTAATGAATATCATCTTGTATGACCTCTGGCCCCAGAGGCAGTCTTGTATTTGGATAATGTCCTGATCTACAAAGCTTCAAATAGAGGGACCTCTGGGTTGAATCTACAGACATCAAAATCCTAGAGTGCCTCCCTGCTTTTGGGGAATCTGAGTAATCCTGGCCAAGGTGACAATTCAGTGGCTTTTATGGGCTACTACTTCTTTATGGGGAGCTCTGGTAGCATAGAGCCTAAGGCACTTGACTGCTAACCAGAAGTCTGGCGGTTCAAACCCACCAGCCACTCCTTGGAAGGAAGGTTGGGCAATCTACTTCCATAGTGATACTGCCTCGGCAACCCAAGGAGGGGTCTCTATGAGTCAGGTCCGACTCAACGGCACATAACAACAACTTCTTTATGGGTCATTGCAAATTTCCTGGATGACCAAGAATTAAGGACTGTGGATTCACTTGAACAGTGTCTATGGCCAAGGAATTCAGAGATTTCAAGACCTTCATTTTACAGTCATTTGGGCATCACCTGATTAGTACAATATCTGTTTATAGTAGTAGAAATATAATAGTATTCATAAGCTCAATGCCAAGGCCCTGCTAGAAACCAGAGTATAAGAAGCCACCTATTCTGGGAGCTTCATCTCCTAGAGAATTTTGTAGCACCAATAGGATTTGGAAAGCCTCTTCCAGGATCAGCCATAAACTGACCTTTAGCAGGCAGTGCCTGCTGAATCTCCAGGACTACCCTGATGTGACTTTAGAAAGAAATTTTATGTCTTCATGAATGAGAGTTGATCCTGGATATTGCCTGTACTGTGAAATGTTCCTGCTGGATTCCTGAGGCTCTTCAACATCACTTGATTCTATGAGGCTTCATGGGTATCCCTCTTAGACAAGACATGTTCCACCATATGAAGTTGTGCAATGCAAGTACCTAGACAAAGGACAGGAACTAGTTCAGATCTCTCTCTCTCACTCTCTCTCTCTTTTTTTTTTTTTAATTGAGAAATTCTATACCATCTGACTATTCTATTCTCTGTGCAGGACTAATTTTGACCCTAAATAATTAGATGCTTCAACTCCATCAAATGCTCATCCATTTCATCTTAGTCTGCATGTCTTGATTTTGAAGATTTTTTTTTTTCCATTTGTTCTGTGTGTTTTTTGTTTGTTTTATTGTGCTTTAGGTGCAAATTTACAGAGCAGAGTTTTACATTCAACATTTCATATACATTTGGTTTCACTCCCCAATTACCATCCCCAACCCTAACCCACTCTCCTCCCCTCCCTTCCCAGTGCACCTCATAGTTATGCACTCTTGTGTGTCCTGCATTTCCTCTGTACAAAGGTCGCCCCTCTGGTGCTTCATGGTCAATTGCTCCAAGGAACACATCTCCATGGAGAATGTGGGTGCATCACCCTGGGTTGAGTGGTCTGCGTGTATGTCTTATTTACTACTGGGCTGAGAGCCATCCCCTGGGAGTGAGTGTTATTCCAGGCCCAAACCATCTATTGATTGCCTTTCAGCTCTACACCAAAGGCCAGATGGACAGTATAAATTGAGTACTGGGAAAAATATGTCTTATGCTTGAAAAACAGGATCACCTGCTTCCCTGGGTCAATTTCTGTGCAACTCCCTTTATACCTCCATGTAGAACATATGCTTCTAGGGAAATTACACATTTCACTCAGGCATCATCCTGTACCCAGAATAACACCATTATACATATGAGAAACTTCAAGTCACCCTGTAATACATCAAGAAAAGTTATAAGGTTCTTGTGGTGGTTATGTTTGTGTGTCAACTTGGCTGGGCCTGTTTGAGTGGCTGGGCAGCTGGTGGTAGTTATACCCCCATGATGACACTGGCAATAAACTTCATGATGGGATCTACCACAAGCAGCTGAGTAGCTGCTTTAGGTACATGGTCTACTTCCCGTATATAAGAAGCAGCTTTGGGAATGGTCTCTAGCTTATGGCACCTTGAACCCTGCATGTAACCATGTCATTGTTCAGCAGCCTCCCTTGCTTTGCCGAACTTGGGACTTTCAATGGACTTAAATTAATGGCCATTAAATTAATGTGCCATTTTATTTGTTGGCCTTGGGCTTGTTAGCCTCAGCTCAGCAGCTAGGAGCTGCCTGAGTACAGAGATGCCTCTAGCTTCAGTGGGCCGGGAGCAAAGGCAGAGCTGAAGCCCAAGGTCAAGGGGCTTTGACACAGCCCCTAGAGCCTGGCACTTTGGACTCGGACTTCTAGCCTCCTGAACTGTAAGAGAATAAACTCCTCTTTGTTAAGGCCATCCCATTTGTGATATATTCTTGTCAGAGTGGCACTAGGTAACCAGAACAATACTCACAATAGCCAAAAGAGAGAGACAATTGAAGGGTCCTTAATGAATGGATACACAAAATGTGGTATATACTTACAGTGGAGTGTTATTTAGCTGTAAAGAGATATGAATTCTGATACATGCCACAACATGGATGAACCTTGAAAACATTATGTTAAGTGAAATAAGCCAGACATAAAAGGACAAATATTGTATCACCCCACTTATATAGGTAAATCCAGTAAGACAAAAGATTAGAGGTTACCAGGGGATGGAGAGATGGTGAAAAGCGGAGTTAAAAAAAAGAGAGTTATAAGAGCCTAGTGTTATAGTGGTTACCACCAGGAAATGCCACAACACAAATGAAAACTTCTTAGCATTGCCACAAACTGAGGTCAGCTTCTTGATCCAACTGTAGGTAATTGGGGTCTTTCCCTTGCTTCCTCCATGACCCATTCTATTGCTTATCTATGTATGTTGTGCCCAGCTTTCTAGACACCTTACATTCTAATAAACCTGTCAGCTAGTGCTGATGATCAGAAAATAGGAACCAGACAATTTTGGGCTATCTATCCTGGATCACTAGCATGATAGAATCTAGTGGTACTTTTGAGTGAGTTTAGTGCATGGGAAGAGCACACCTGTAAGTAGACTTCAGACCTAAAGCTTGACTTTGGCCTTGAGGCATTTTTTTTTTTCCTATTGGAACCTGGTTTCACCTTAACCCTACCCTGACCTTTGTTAGGCGGTTTTTGTTGTTAGGTGCCGTGGAGTTGTCTCCGACTCATAGTGACCCTATGTACAGCAGAAGGAAACACTGCCCAGTCCTGTGCCAACTTCATGATCCCTACTATAGTTGAGCCCATCACTGCAGCCACCATGTCAATCCATTTTGTTGAGGGCCTTCCCCTCTTTTGTTGACCCTCCACTTTACCAAGCATGACATCCTTCTCCAGATAATGGTCCCTTCTGACAACATGACCAAAGTAGGTGAGATGAAGTCTGGCCACTCTCACTTCCAAGGAGCATTCCAGTTGCACTTCTTCCAGGATGGACTTGTTAGTTCTTTTAGCAGTCCATGGTACTTTCAGCATTCTTTGCCAACACCACAACTCAAAACATCAGTTCTTCTTCGGTTTTCCTTATTCGTTGTTCAGCTCTCAATGCATATGAGGCAATTGAAAATACCATGGCTTGGGTCAGGCACATCTTAGTCTTGAAGGAGACATCTTTGCTCTTCGACACTTGAAAGAGGTCTTTTGCAACAGATTTGCCCAATGCAATATGTCTTTTGATATCTTGACTGCTGTTTCCATTGGCATTGATTGTTGTTGTTGTTGTTGTTAAGTGCCGTCGAGTCGTTTCCGACTCATAGC